TGACTGCAATGTAGATAATGACTTGGGGGGCGGGGCGCGATGATCAGTAGGCAGCTCCCCAGGAAGGATGGTGGTGATGCTGATCAGGTGATAAAGATGGAGTCTAGAGGTAGAGGAAGAAAGTCACGGGGACTTGGTGTCCCACTGGTAGGCTCAGCACCAGAGGCACCCTCGAAGCCTGAGAGGTGTATGCAGTCTTGGCTCACAACTTGAGCAAAGGAAATTCTAAGACAAAAGCTTTCAAGATCAATTGAGCGGGTGGGAGTAGAATTTCAAATGACCAAGTTTAGGTTGTCACTGGCTGTCTGGTTCTTTCCCACTAAAGAGAAGCTCCGAAATGTGAGCTCAGAGGATGTGCCTGAGATGGTCTTGAAGCAGCTAGCAGGGGAGGGGGTCAACAGGCTAGTTTCTTGTGGACTTTCAGGGTTCAATAAATGCCAGGACAATGTCCAGTTCTCACCGGCAGGTGGCAGCACCACAACTCACCAAAAGCACAGGGGGAAACCCTTTGCCAGGACGGAAAAGTGCTGCAAGCCCCAACCGAAGAGACCTGGTGGTGGTTAATTTGTGCATTCCGGAGTAACCGATGTGGCAGTGTGTCACTAGCAAGTTTTGCTACAGTTACAACAGATTTTCACACCAGGGTGCCTTTTACTTCACAACTTGCCTCTTGTTCGTTTCTTTTTGCTATTTAGCATTAGCCACACACACATTCAAAGTCCCACTGCCACTAGTGTGGCTTTTTCTCTTCACAAAATGATCTTGGACAGCGTTCTCTGAAGTTTCTGAATCTATGTCTGCAGAAAAGTATTTTTAAATCAGAAAGACAACATGACGAATGTTGAGGGTTTTGTGTTGTTGGTGTGTGTGTGTTTTTGTCACCCATAGTTGCTTTCTTTCTTTTCTTTTTTTTTTAAATCCTCACCCGAGGACATTTTCCCATATTTTGCTCAGAGTGGGAGGTAGAGAGAGAGAGAAACATCAACGTGAAAGGGGCACATCGAGTGGTTGCCACCCACACAATCCAACCAGGGCAGGGGACAAACTGCAACCGAGGTACATGCCCTTAGCGGGAACTGAACCTGGGTCTCTCTGGACCATAGGCTGACACTCTAACCGCTGAGCCAAACCGGCCAGGGTATATAGTTGCTTTATTTCAACACAATTAGTATTTGTACTTTTAAATGTTCCCCTTCCAAATCTGGCCATATGCATATGTCTTTTTACACAGACATACTCAGAGTCTGTTTTATCAGTGCTGCATTTTAAAAGGAAGTGCATAATGTTTTTTTCTGTTCTCTTAGGCATCTAGTCTCTTCTGAGATCTCACCCACTTCCTTAGCTTCAAATATCACATTGCACAGAGAGAAAGCCATATCGTTGTCTCTTATCAACCCCTATTATTTATTTACTTGTTCTTCTATCCATCCATCCATTTACTCCATGCATTGTGCTGGGGGCTGGGAATACAATTGTGAAAAGGTGTGGTCCTATTTGCCTGGAGTTTGTAGAGCACGGAGTGGGGGGCAGTGGGGAGTCAACAATGCTGCAATGAGATTGGAGGGACAATGGGAATTTGGGGGGAAAAACCCTAAAACTGACTTGGGGGCCTAAAGGAAGGGACAAATGCCAACTGAGCAGAGGAAACTGCATATGTAAAGATATGGACACTCAAGAGATCATGGCCCCTTCCGGAAACCACTGTGGTTAGTTTTAGGGGAGCGTGTGCTGGCTGGAGACTGAGAGGGTGGGTGGGGCTGGCAGGCAGAAGCCAGATGTGCAAGGGTCTTACAAAGGACTTATCTTGTCGATGATAAATATCTCTCCTGGAACACTCTCTTCCTCTCCCTAACCAGGGTCTCAGCTTAAACCTCCCCCTCAGTCTTCCCTGATCCTGAACTAGGTCAGGTCTCCTGCCATGTGCTCCCAAAGCTGCCAGTTCTGAGTGTCATCCCCTCAGAGGAATGTCTTCCCCTTCAGGCTGTAAGCTCTGTGGCAAGGTTATCTTGCTGTCTACAGAGTAGATGCTCAGTTAATATTTGGAGGGAATGAATGGAAGCATTGAGCTTTTCAATGCCTTTCTTGTCCTAAAACCCATATATTTGTCCTCCATTATGATACTTTGTTCTAGAATGGTGGCCAGAAAAAAAATAAAAAGGAAAGGGAAGAATTTAGCTGCTGAACGGAGAGGAGGCTTTTCAACAGCATACTGGATCTTTCTACCTGTGTATCTCCTGGAAGGATGAACTCTACATTTCCAAAATGGGGGCATCATCACCTCCTCACCTCCCCTTCCCTGTAACCGCCCCCAACACCTCCCACCTAATCAGCTACTCCACTGACTGACAAATTTCTTGGTGTTCTCCCCACTCAAAACAAAGAACTGCAACTTTTCCCTCACTTCCTCCTCCTCTCTGTTTAGCAGCTAAGTCCGTCCCTTTCATTTTTATTTTTGGCCACCGTTCTAGAGCAAAGTATCATAATGGAGGACAAATATATGGGTTTTAGGACCAGAAAGGCATAGGTTTAAATCTTGAGTCTACTATTCTTGAGTTCCCCTGGGTAAATTAACCTCTCTAAGTTTCCGAATCTGTAAAATGGGGAAGTGATCTGCCCTGTAGAAACACTGTGGCTTTAGTACACACTGGGTAGTAAGTAAATGGTTCTCTTGTTGTTTTAGCCTCTTATCAGACACCCCCTGCTCAAAACCTCTCAGCAGTTGCACATGACTTGCCAAGGAAACCTAAGCCATACATCTTGGCCTTGTGTCCCATTACTCCTCCCCCTAAATCCTAAACTCTGGTCAATCTGAAATATTGGCTGATTCCATCACTCTTTCCTCCCTGCTTTCATGCTGCAGTTCACATACCAAGCCCTGCCTTGTTACCTGAGCACCGAGTAATTGGCTCCCTCCTCCACAGTCCTCTCCGTAGTTCAATGGCACTGTTTTGCCTTGGCGTCAAGGCAACTCTCCTCTAGATTACAAACTGTTGAAAGCAGAGGCTTTGTGAGGGTCATCTATTCCCCTGCATAGCTCCTTGCATGTAGTTGACACTCAATAAAATACTTAGTGAAATTCATTTTCCTTATTTCAATGGGCGTGTTCTCTCTATAGAATCCGATGTTTGGTTAGTCTCACTTCAGCGCTATTTGGTTGGCTTCCGGAGAGTACATTGCCATTCGATGCGTTCTGTTCTCTCCTTTAATTGAAAGGAGATTTTGGAACTGAAAAATAAGTTACTTCTCCAAGCACCATATTCTGTCAACACCTCCCTCCCCCTACTCACCCCGCCTAGTACGGGAATCAAACTACCCAGCACTACCCGGAACACGATTTTCACACCTTCATTCCTTTGTACGTGCTGCTGTTCCCTTTGCCTGGAACGCCCTCGCCCCCGCTTCTCTGTCTCGCGAACTCCTACTCATCCTCCAAGACTCAGCTCAGACGACACCACATCGCCTTCTCTGGGAAGGCTTTTCTGAGATGGGCAGAGGAGCAATCCCACCCCCCACCCCTTTAGCTTCCTCAGCAATTCCCCAAATAATTCTAACAATACTTGTGGCATTATTCGTTTACTTTTCTTCCACTTCTCGAGACCACGAATTCCTTGAGGGCCAGGGTTTCTGTTAGTTCTTGTACCTTCTATCTAGCACCGTGCTTAGCCTACATGAGGCACTTGATTCAATCAAGGAACAAGTGAAATCTGTTAATTCGTCTAACACTGCAGAGTTTGGACCAGATTCTCAAATAGTTCAAGACCGCGCCCTCTATTTGGGGTGCTTCATGCTGGAGGGACATTCTCCTCCGACTCCCCAATTGCCTAGGTTTGGTGGAAGGGTAAAGGAAGTGATTCGACTGTGCATATTTCCTGGGGTGGTGCTATAATTCACCCGCTCCGGCAGCGAGCGGGTTACGGCGACCCGAGGCGGAGCCGTGTGAGTGCCACCTGCGGCCGGCGGTCTGGCGCACGCGCCCGGCACCTAGAAGGTCTACCTGCTGTAGCCCGGCTTCGGAGGAGCGCATGCGCTCTGGGCCTTTCCGCCGGGGGAAGTCTCGCGGGGGCGGAGTGGGGCGGGGCAGGGAAGTTCTCGCGGGACCCGAACGAGGAGCGGAAGCGAGGCGGCTGCACTGCTTCTGCGACCGGGCGGCGGCGGCGGCGACGGCGGCGACGGCGACGGCGATTGTGGTGGTGACAGCGGCGGGAGTAGGCGCTGCCCTCGGAGAGCAGCAGCGGGGTCGGCGGCCGCTCACACCGCTGTGGAGGGGCCGGCCGGGTGCGGAGCGGAGCAGCTGCGCCACGGTGAGTGGGGCCGGCGGCGGCGGCGGCGCTGCTCCGGTGCCTCTTACAACCCCGCTCCGGAGGGGGAGTCGGCCCGCAGGGACCTGGCCCAGCCTACCGAGGGCCGCGGGGCTGGGGGTCGGGGCGGCGAGGCCCAGGGCAGGAGCGGAGTCTCCGGGGCTCCAGGCTCCATGTTTCCTCTTTTGGGGCGCTTCCTTCCCGGGGACTGGCCTTCCCCGGCCCTTGGCTCGGGACAGAGCCCCGGAGCTAAAGGCAGGGGGCTCCTAGTTAAATTGTATGCCTTCTTCAGGAGGGTTTGCGCAAAAGGAGCCCGGGAGAAGCCCCAGAGCACAGGCTACTCATCCTGTGAGTCAGTCTGACTTGGCCCGGAGGCGGGGGATTCTCTGCGGGCTGCAGATGTGGTGATAGATGCTCTTTCGACCTGCAAGGCCACCACGTCACCGTCTCCTGGTGTATTGGGGCCGAATTTCGGGAGGGAACGCACCGACCCTGCTAATACCGGGAGTTAGATCGTCTGCTGCCGGAGCCAGTCGAGATGCTTTTACTTCTGGGCTCACCTCCCCCTGCCCCCCCTTGTGAACGGCTGTCTGAAAAATATTTGTCAAGAAAAATAAGCAGCAGTGGTTGGAATGCCCTGAGGAAAGATTTCAGTGAGCGAGGAGAGGGAAGCACCGGTGTTTTCCATTGGTAGCGCTCTCCCTGTAGGATCGTCAGCCATGTAAGTTACCGCTTGTTTGGGGAGTTATTCTAAGCTGGCTTCAGACCTGTACAATTTGCAGAGTAGCTGAATGAAGTGCACTCGAGGTCTGTTGGTACCGTTGACAGTCAGAAGAGAGTTGAGAAGACACACGAGAGAAGTTAGCATTGGTCTCTTTGGCTTTCTTGTCTCCTTTTCACTGTGTACTTCTCCAGTTGTTGCCTTTCCTCTCTGTCTACTTCTCTCCATTCCACTGCGGGCACTAAATGCTTGCTTGTGTAATGCAAGTCATTTGCCCCCCCCCCCCCCCAGCCTTTTTTCTGATCTACTTCCCCTTCTTCCCTGTTGTCCCCACTCTGGCATAATTTTTCGAGGTTTCTGCTCCTTGCGCAGTTCGTTTTCTCCTTCATTTAAAAATTCGGTTTTCTCTTCCGAGAAGAGACCCCCTTGCCTGCTTTATGCTTTACTTTTAAGCGTCCACTGTGTTCCTTCAGTCAGCCAGAAGGGTTGCTAGAGAGCTATGTGAGACTTAAGTTCTCCCCCTGGGAACTGGGAGGCTCAAAGGGTTGAATTCATCCGTAAGTAATCAATACTGCCTCTAGGTCAGGAGCATAGCTTGCTTGCCTCATTTGTGTTTGAGTTTTCTTCATTTTAAGATCATGCTTTTGTGCCCGCTAATGCTTTTCTTAGTACGTCTCTTATATTAGTAAGGAAGATTGTGTCACTCTGGGCTTATATGGCTTCTCTCTGGTTTTTAGTGGGGGTGGTTAAGGTAAAAAACGAAAACCAACCATAGACCTATATTACAATAGAATTAAGATAACATGAAACATTAAGGGAATAGAATTTATTTAGGCCTTTGATCAGTTAGAGTTTGCCCATTGTAATAGTACTAATTTTTTTAACCAGGCTTTTAAAAAACGATTTTAAAGTTTATTTTAGAATTATAGTTGATGTACAATATTATATTAGTTTCACGTGTACTTTACCAGGCTTTTAAATATTAGGCATCTTTTCCTGTATCTGTTAGAATCAGTCTTTGTTATTATTGTTGGGGGTATTTTTTGACAGAAAACAACTTTGTTCTGCTGCCCCTTCCCTTGTTCAAAATTTTCTGAATTCCAAAATAAAAAAAGTTCATTCTTTTAATCAGCTTTCTTTAATACTAAAAGCAAGCATTTGAATGCTTGAGGCTGTTCTCTTCCTCAGCAAGTGTATTCAGATGTGAGGAATTACTAGGTTTTAGACACTACTGGTTGATAGTACTTAGAGATTTTTCTCAGTAAGTCTTATTATCAAATTGCATGTTGTGTAGCAGCAGTTCTAATTGTTACCTAGAGCAGAAGAGTGATAGATTTTGGAGAAATGAAGTAATACAGAATAGAGACCCACCATGCTCTCCTGAGAGAAATTAATAGTTACTTGCTTAATTCAGAACTTTTCTGACATTACTGAGTGACTACTGAGAGTCTTTGGCTTTCTTTGCCCAAGTTGGCTTTTTCCCAGTTGTGCCAAGTGAATATGCATGATTTATATTTTATGCAAAGACGTTGTAATGCATTATCTGGAATGCAAAGTTTAAAATCGGGTTTAGGCACCCTTATAGTAGTACAGCAGTGATTCTTAAAATGTAGCAGGCATAAGAATTACCTGGTTCGGGGCCTAAGGCCACTACATTGCAGAACTCCAGAAGGCACCCCACAGTGAGTCAGTCTCCTGAATGGGGTGATTTTGATGCAGCTGGTCCAAGGACCAAAACTGTTGTTACAGAATACAGCCATAAAATAATGAGACTGGAGTGTGGCTTTAAATTACTAAACTTAAAATTATACTTTTCTGTGTATACAGAGGGAATATTTAAAAGCCTAATGGAATAAGTGATATAGATGTGATTAGTTTTTATGTGTAAATATTTGAGCTTTGTTAAGACTGTGATGTGGAGCAATTTAATTTTAAAGTTATATTTAATAGGACTGTTACTTTGTCTATCAGACAGTCTGTATGTAGATAGAAGTTCTAGATTACTGTGAAAACGTGGACTGATGATTTCAAAAGGGACTGGTGATGCTGGTTAACACCTGTTAGCACTTTATGCCAGAGACTCTGCTAAGGCCTTCACAGATGCTGTCTCTTTTAGTAATCAAAATGGCCTTATGAGATAGATGCTGTTATTTCCATTTTCTGAGGATACAAGGGATTAGAGAATATCATTTATTTCTCAGGTGTCACTCAACGCAGTTAGTAAGCGATAAAGGAACAGTTGAATCCAGACCTAACTCCAGAGCATCAGTAAGATTTTGGTATTTGTTTTTCTTTAAAAAAAATTTTTTTTTTCTTACTGGTTTTTAGAGAGGAAGGGAGAAGAAGAGAGTGATAGAATCATCTAACAAAGAAAGCATTGATTGCCCACCTCCTGTGTGCCCTCCACTGGGGATCGGACCCACAATCTGGGCATGTGCCCTGACCAGGAATCTAACCGGTGACCTCCTGGTGCATGGGTCGACACTTAACCACTGAACCACGCCGGTTGGGTGTGTTTTTTGTTTTTTCTAACCATAAAAGTAGTAAATGCCTATAGTAAAAACTAAAAATATAATTGAGGTGTATAGAGTAGAAAGTAAAACATCCTGTGATCTCTCTCCCAGAGATAATCATTGTTATCCTTTTGAATTTTTTCTTTAGCCACACACTGATATATATTATTTTCCCCTATAGAAATGGGGGTAAATTGTAATTTTTCTTTTTTTAAATACTCACCTAAGGATATTTTTCCATTTATCTTCAGATAGAGTATGAGGAAGGGAGGGAGGGAGGGAGAGAGAAAGAGAGAGAGAGAGAGAGAGAGAGAGAGAGAGAGAGAGAGAGAGAGAGAAACGTCAATGTGAGAGAGATACCAATTGGTTGCCTCCTGCACGATCCCGACCAGGGTTGGGGACTGAACCTCAACCAAGGTACGTGCCCTTGACTGGAATCAAATCCAAGACTCTGGTCTGTGGGCTGACGCTCTAACTGCTGAACCAAACCAGCCAGGACTCTTCATTTTTTAAAATTTTATAATATATCTTAAAATGAACAATTCAAGCTGCACTTGCCTTCTTAAAATTCACTGCTTGGGATCCGCTGTGGAGGTGTGTGCTGGGAACAATTGAGACATACTCTCATTAGGCTTCAGGGTTGAGTGTACGCCCAACCCATTTTCTTGGGAAATGAACAGCAACATCTACTCTATTGAAATCATTTATACAATTATGTTTCAGATTTCTTCCTTTTAGTAATTAGTGCTGGGTATGTGATAGAATTTTTTCTGTCTTTAATGAAACACACACTTTTGAATTCCTTTGGACTATGTACTCTTTTCTGTGGATAGCCTACTAAGCTGATATCTTCAAGTTTTCTCTATGAGATGCTTTTTGGCACAGAAGTATTGATTGTGCTTGGTTTAGTTTGATAAAGAAATTGCAGAGGTTATGCCCTGGCCAGTTTGGCTCAGCGGTTAGAGCGTCGGCCTGCGGTCTGGAGAGACCCGGGTTCGGTTCCCGCTAAGGGCACGTACTTCGGTTGCAGTTTGTCCCCGGCCCTGGTTGGTCATGCGGGTGGCAGCCACTCGATGTGTCCCTTCACGTCGATGTTTCTGTCTGTCTCTCCCTTCCTCTCCCTCCCTCCCACTCTATCTGTACAAAAAATGGAAAAATATCCTCGGGTGAGGATTAAAAAAAAAAAAGAAATTGCAGAGGTTATAAGTAAAGGGTTTTTGAAGACACACAAAAAGAAATACTTTGAGACTAATCTTTTTTTTTTTTTTTTTTTTTAATCCTCACCCGAGGACATTTCTCCATTTTTTGTACAGATAGAGTGGGAGGGAGAGAGAGGAAGAGAGAGAGAGAGAGAGAGAGAGAGAGAGAAACATCGATGTGAAAGGGACACATCGAGTGGCTGCCACCCGCACGACCAACCAGGGCCGGGGACAAACTGCAACCGAAGTACGTGCCCTTAGCGGAAACCGAACCCGGGTCTCTCCGGACCGCAGGTCGACGCTCTAACCGCTGAGCCAAACCGGCCAGGGCTGAGACTAATCTTTGTAGTTTTTTTATTTGATAGAATGCTCTTTTTCCTCTCTTTGGTCCTGTGCCACATAGGATATATCCTAGGTCTGGCCTGATAGAATCAACGTTGGTTTAGTTTATTAGTTTACCTACAGTAGAGTGTTTGGCTATTAGAATTTGACTGAAGGACCTTTTATTACCAGGTGATTTCTTTTCTCCTTGGTAATACTCATTTGCCTTTCATCTTAATATTCCCAGCTGGTATACCGCTTAGTCCATTTGCAGCTAGGCTTGATTAATGCCCCACTTGTTAACTTTAGAACAAAAGGATAATAATCACTCGTGCCCTTCAAATGAGTTCTCTGCTAGGTGGTAATTATCCAAGAAGAGTGTCACTATAAATAATCTGTCCCCATTCTGCCAGTGTTCCTGCTGTTTGCTGCTTTTATTTAGCCTGTATGAAAACAGTGACTGATGGAACAAGAATGGGCTTTATTTTCCATTAGTTCTTCAAAGTTCTAGGTTGTATCCCATATTCAGGGCTGGAGACTCCAGCAGTGATTGATTGTCTGTGGTGCCACACAGCTCCCCATCACCTGGTACACTACCAGAGGGTTAGTACAGCCTCTTCACCTGCACAGTGCAGTTTGGATCAGTTTAGTTAGTACTCCTGTGGCTCTGAGCAAAGTAGCTGTTCTCGGGTAACTGTGAGAGACTTCTGTTTGACTTCCTGGCACCATTTTCCTGCACTTTCTTTTCCCAGACACAGTATCTGGCAGCTCATTCTGAAATAGGGATTTCTTTCAGGTGTAGATTAGGACTTCAGCTTTGTTCCTTAGGCTAGTTAGAAATAATGTGGAGGCTGCTTCTATAATACTGAACCTTGGACATCTATTTCAAGGGCTCTTGGGGACCCCAAAGTCTTGGGGGTCTTCAGGGAAGAGGGGCCTTATTGCAAGAGTAGCAAAAGATCCACCAGCAAAAGGCTGAGCTGGACCTTCTTTTCTGGTGCCCTGTGCTCAGAGTAGTAAATTGAATAGAAAAATAGATCTGTGTTCACTTTCCCAAGGAGCAGACCAAGGTTTAGTTTCTGAGAAGAGTTAGAAACAGCCCAGGACCAAAGTGTGCATTGCTTGCTTTTGATTGGATAGCATTTTCAGAAAAGCATTAAGGTTGGCAGGGGGAAAGGAGGGAGGTAGGCCTATTAAACTGAGAAAAGTAGGGTGCCATCCCCCGGGGGAGGCCTTCTCTCAGTGTACTGCATTTCATGCCTGAAGAAGAGCGTGAAGGGGGCGAGGGAGGAAAGGTGGAGACCTAAAGGGACTCCAGCCGGTTCCTGCACACCGCGCACACCCAGTGGGAAGGAAGAGGAAGTATACTCTGAAATAGCTCGAGCAGCTGCCACCATTGGCCGGCGGGCCTGTCAGTCGCCTGGGCTTGAGGCTGAAAAGAGGAAGGAGATCAGGGCTCTTGCTTGGAAGGGAGGGAGGAGGGTTGAGCCAGCCGAGCCAGGGGGCGTGGGGGCTGGGACAGCAGGCCGATTGGCAGGGCGGGGCTGCCTTCGATCTGGCCACTTCTCTCAATCATCCGTCTTCTGATTCAGGGTGGCATTGTGTGTCCTGGTGTGCCGGAGCCAGTCCCAGAAGAGAGGGGAGGCTGAGCCCAGAGCGCGGGGTTGCTTCAGCAGGGAAGACTCCCTTCCCCCTGCTTCAGGCTGCTGAGCACTGAGCAGCGCTCAGAATGGAAGCCATCGCCAAATATGACTTCAAAGCCACTGCAGACGACGAGCTGAGCTTCAAAAGAGGGGACATTCTCAAGGTAAGTGTTGATGCCAAGTCAATGCTGAGATGGCCTCCCCTTGTACTCACTCACCTTCTTTTGCCCATAACACACAGAGAAGCCGTGCTCCCTTTCCATTGCCCACTTCTAACATTTTCTGCCGGGTGAGGTCTGGATAGCTGAGATGGACGCTGAGTAGAACATTAAATATGACTTAAGAGGGTGGTGTGCATGATGTATGGTCTTTAACTGCCTTTGTGTGAATGCCTCGAGTATTTCTTTTTGCTTGTTGATATTGGTACTATTTCAAGTAAAGTCAAAGCAATAAGACTGTAGTAAGGAAGTAGGTTGATTTACCTTGGAGAGTTTTATTAAAAAATTAGAGGATGTTTTGAAAGACCTAAACTTGAAGTATTTATGTAAAAGCACTCAATTAGTCTTATTTTACATAGTCAAAAGATTTTTGCATTCTGGAATGTGATTCTAGTCAGTTAATTTCCCCTAGTTTAGAGAGGTAATTAGAAATACATGTCAAAACTCATTTAAGAACTCAATGTATCTTTATTCTTTTTGAAAAATTAATGGAGTTCTAAATAATAAGGTTCAGTTTGCTTTATACAAGTCAAATTTCTGTATTCTTAGAAGAAACTTGAGGAGCAATTACCACATATTAAACTCTAATTGTACAAAAGAAACCTGCTGACAGTTTAGAAAAAAATACGCTTCTTTACAGTTTGCAGCTCATTTTGAGCCCCACTATTTACATGACCATTCACTTTCCACCTGGCACATGTTAATTATGTTGTTTACCCAGTTGGCTGAGCAGCTTGCCCTTTTGGATATGTAATTTATTTTTTACAAGGGTGGGTGTTATCGAATAGTGTCAACTCTAAATGAGGAAAACTTGAACTTTTGTGTTTGCACATTCACTGTGTCTCAAGTTTTGACTTTATTTTCTCTGAGCCTTAGCTTGATTGCTGGAATTTACTACCATTTGTTGACTATCCCTGAATGAAATTATTAGAATTTTACAATGAGAAAGAAAGTGGAAATGTAGAAATATGATCCTTTTTTAAAGGACGAGTTATTTGTTTTAAGTTACGCAGACCTGTGGAGAGTTACCATGTTGTTCTCATTGCCAGAGGCATAGAGTTCTCTGAAGTTAGTGCATAGTAGTTTAATGTTAAACATGTAGGTTATACTTCATAAAAGGTGATACGGAAGAGCCCTTTAAGGAGAAGGAAACTGTTTTCTATTCAAAGTTGTTATTGTGATACCAAGCTTTTTGAGGCTATTTTCAAAATCAGCACAAAATTGTCAGAAAGCGAACAAAACCAGCTATATGTTTTAGAGTGATATATGTCTTCTGGTTCTGTTTTCTCAGAGAGCTAGAAATCAGAGCAGGTATAACTTGACTGCTAAATTACTTCATATCGTTGATGTATAGAGAGGGTCATTTGATGTTTTCATAGGTAATCACTGATTTTTAGCAGATGACCTGCTAGCGATATCGTAAGATTGGCTACTCAAGTACCCACATTTGTAGCCTGTATAAAACCCTTTGGGACCAAGTTTTTTGTTTTTGTTTTTTTAAAGTACATACTGGCCCTGACCAGTTTGGTTCATTGGTTGAGCGTTGGCCTGTGGACCAGAGAGTCCGGGTTCGGTTCCCACTAGGGGCACATACTACAAAAAAATGAACAAACAAATAAAATACATATTGATTTCTCTGTTAAACACTCTATAAACTTGAACGAAGGCTGGTAGTTTATATTTTTCTCTGTTTATCCTATTGCATATTTAGCACTAAAGCAACAAAGTAAAACAAAATGAGGATTTGAGTACTATTTTTAAGAATTTTTAGACAAGAACTTTCCATGTTTACTATCACTGAAGTTTTTTCTAGACCATGAACATTTTATGTAAGTTTTCCAACTTAAATTGGTAACCTCTTGAACAAGTACAAAATCTTTCTCTTCTCACCCTATAATTAGAGAAGGTGATACTGTTTAACATTCCCCCAGAAATTTTCATGATGGGAGAGAAAGTGAATCAGAGTGCTCCCATTTACTTTCAGATTTTCTCTGGGGAGAGAAAAATACATATATTTGGTTCTTTCCAATTTGGTAGATAACTGGCATATGAAGTCATAATGCCATTATTGCTTTTGAATGGTGGCCATTAGCTGTTTGTTAGTAATCTTGTGGCTTTACTCCAAAAAAAAAGGGGTGGGGGGAGTGATGATACAGTAGTTGCCCTTTGTCTCATGATTCTGTGAAACAGCTGAGTGAAGAGGAGGGCCATGAGGGACGGTGCTTTGTGTTAGCTGTTAGTGTAAAAAAAAAAGTGTTTTCTTCATTTGATTATTCAAGAGGTAACTGGCTTCATTTGAGTGGCTTTGATTTGATAACTCTTTAGGATCTTAGTTGTGAGCCAACACATGTTTAGAAGTGGCTGGAATAGCATTGACCAGTTTAACTTGATTAAAATAGGGGTATATTTGCCCTCCCTTGATAAAGGGGGCATATGCATGTTGGTATTAATACATTTTATTTGAATATAATAAAATAGAAAGGGGCTTAGTCCTCTCTGACTAGAATTTGGAAGGAGTGCATCCCCTCACTGTCTTGAGTTCTTGGCTAACTTTTGGTTACTGTTAATTCCCGTCCTCCAGCAGACCACTTCCTTACTTTCTATCTACACAGTGACTTGTACTGCCCTGAGAAAAGAGAGAAAACTGAAGACATTTTACTGGAAGCGTAAAATAGAATTGAATGCTTCAATATACCTGCCTTTGTTACTTTCCTTCATATAAAAGCTTGTTTTTTTTCTTGAGGGCACTGGGGCATAGAAATGGGAGGAACTGCTCTTATGTTGCAGGTTTCAGGCCTTGCATGGCTGAGCTGAACCTAAATTTCCCCACCGTTGTAGGATAGGCTTGGGGTAGTCCCAGGAGTTCTCCACTGAACAGGGCCCCTGAATACTAGAGCATATAAATTTCTGAACTCACTAAATGCTGTATCTGCCATTTAGAGGCTTATGGACACATAACTTCAAATCTGTGCTCATTCCATTCTAGAATTGGCTTCTTTTTCACCAAGGCAGACCTTCAGACTCTAGAAGAGAGCCAGTAGTGGAGCATCTAGGTGTTCTCTTCTCCATCCAGCACTAACTACCTGTGCCAGTTTCCCAAGCTGCTTTAGAACTAGGTCTTGGGTTCACACTCAGATCTTTGAAGTCTTCTATCTCAGCACTGATGTCCCTATTTCACTGTCACATTTTCTGAGCATTTCCTTGAGCCACATCCTGTGATAAGTTTCTTTGAGAGTTGGGGAAGAAATAGATGTCCTTTCTCCCTTTGGGTACTCTAAAATCAAATAAGGAAGTGAGATTAATATCTGAAACAGTACATGGAAGTATGTAAAATTAGAGGATTTTCAGAACAGGAAAAGATCTTTTTAAATCTATTCATTTAGACATCACTTTACAGGTAAGGAAATGGTGGCCCACAGAGGTTAAATGTTCTCTGCAAGATCACAAACTTCATATTTCGTAGTGCACTGGTGTTTAATAGATTCCTGAAGTTGTATTACACCTCGTAACTGCCAGGGTAATAGGAAGGGAAGAGATAGGTGAGAGCTGAAGTCAGAAAGCTGTGAAGAAGAAGTGTCCCTTGAACTGGACCCTGTGAGATGAATAGGCTGGGGTAGGTGAAGGCAAGGGGCGGGCTGTACTTTTGTTTGAGATAGGAATGCTAGAATAAGGCTATAGTCTGTGAGTGACATAGTAGAAAATAAGAGAATTGGAGTCAGATGAGAAAAACTCCGTAAGAGTTTGATCTCGTCCTTAAGAAGTCTCTGAAGGTTTTTAGCTGATGAAAAAGTGTTCTGTGTGTAAAGTGTAATGGGTTGCAGGGAGGTGAGCCTGGAGTCCTAGCCTGGAAGGTTGCAGTAACCAGGTTGTGAGATAAGTAACTGTATAGGTGTTAAAGCTAGGAATGAAGGATGAGGGTGGTTTGAGAGAGGCTAAGAAAAACTATGGGATTTCTGCCTGTCAGCTGGGGGCATTTGAATAAGTCTCCTGTATAACAGAAAAGAATGCCCATGATGCCCTGGCCAGCTTGGCTCAGCGGTTAGAGCGTCGGCCTGCGGTCCGGAGAGACCCGGGTTCGGTTCCCGCTAAGGGCACGTACCTCGGTTGCAGTTTGTCCCCGGCCCTGGTTGGTCGTGCGGGTGGCAGCCACTCAATGTGTCCCTTTCACATCGATTTCTCTCTCTCTCTCTCTCTCTCTCTCTCTCTCTCTCTCTCTCTCTCTCCCCCTCCCTCTCCCTGTTCCTCTTTCTCCCTCCCATTCTACCTGAACAAAAATTGGAAAAATGTCCTTGAGTGAGGATAGAAAAAAAAAAAGAATGCCCATGAGGATGCTTCTGAGAAAATAGGATTTGATGGGTTCCAGTTTTCACAACAGCTAGATTTTGGTACACAAGTCCAGTTGAGGTGTTTAAATTACCAAACCTAAAAAAATAAGAGGTTGGGGCTTTTTCTTCACTGTTGTAAAGTCCCAGTATCAGTATGCTTTATAGAAGCCTTTCTTTGCCTTTGATAAGAATTCTGATTAGTCTTTTTTTAATCCTCACCCGAGGACATTTTTCCACTTGTTTGTTTTTTAGATAGAGTGGGAACGTGAGGAGAGAGAGAAAGAGAAACATCAATGTAGAGACACATTAGTTGGTTGCCTTCTGCAACACCCCGAACGGGGTTGGGGATTGAACCTGACACCCCAAGGTACGGTGCCCTTAATTAGGAATCGAACCCTCGATTCTTTGGTCAGAGGGCCAGTGCTCTAACCAGTGAGCAAACCGGCCTGGGCCTTATCAGTCTTGTTGATTAAGCCCAGAAGATTGCATTTATTTATTCTTTTGAGAATGAGGACTCTTTGAGTTCTTTTATAGCAGGTAATTTGTTTGCCTTTCATTATATTCATTTATCCCCCTGTCATCTGGATGGACTATTTCCAAATAGGTGCTAAGAATGAATGA